ATCCCACATGCATGCCACAACTAAGACCTGGAGCCGCCAAAATAAATACAAAAATATTTTTTAAAAATTATTGACAAACTGGGTACAGAAGGGAACATACCTCAGTATAATAAAAGCCATGTGTGACAAGCCTACAGGTAACATCATATGGTAAAAAGCTGAAAGCATTTCCTCTAAGATCAGGAACAAAACAAGGATGTCCATTCTCACCACTTTTATTCAACACAGTATTGTAAGTCCTAGCCACAGCAATCAGACAAGAAAAAAAATAAGAGGAATTCAAATTTCAAAGGATGAAGTAACGCTGTCACTGTCTGCAGATGACATGATACTGTATACAGATAATCCTAAAGATGCCACCAAAACACTATTAGAACTTATCAATGAATTCAGTAAAGTTGCAGGATACAAAATTAATATACAGAGATCTGTTGCATTTCTATACACTAACAACTATCAGAAAGAGAAATTCCATTTACAGTTGCATCAAAAAGAATACCAGGAATAAATCTAACCAGGAAGGTAAAAGACCTGTATTCACTGATGAAAGAAATTGATGACACTAACAAATGTAAAGATGTACTGTGCTCATGGATTGAAGAATATTGTTAAAGTGACCATACCCCCCAAGGCAATCTATAGATTCAATGCAATCCCTATCAAAATACCAATACTATTTTTCACAGAACTAGAATAATTCTAAAATTTGTATGGAAACACCAAAGACCCCAAAAGGCCAAAACAATCTTGAGAAAGAACGAAGCTAGAGGTAACATGATCCCTGATTTCAAAGTATACTACAAAGGTATAGTAATCAAAACAGAATGGTACTAGCATAAAAACAAACATAGATCAATGGAACAGAATAGAGAGCCCAGAAACAAACTCACACTTTTATCATCAATTAATCTATGATAAAGGATATACAACAGAAAAGACAGCATCTTCAATAAATGATTTGGGAAACTGGACAGCTACATGCAAAATAAACTGTACTTTCTCACACCATATATAAAAATAAACTCAAAATGGATTAAAGACTTAAATGTAAGACCTGAAACCATAAAGTTTCTAGAAGAAAAAACATAGGCAGGATGTTCTTTACCATTGGTCTCAGTTTTGTGTGTGTGTGTGTGTGTGTGTGTGTGTATACATCTGATGTCTTCTCAGGTAAAAAAAACAAAAAAAAAATAAACAAATGGGACTACATAAACCTAAAAAGCTTTTGTTCTTTTGCACAGTGAAGGAAACTACCAAAAAAATAAAAAGGCCAACTACTGAATGGGAGAAGATATTTGCAAAGGATGTATCAGATAAGTGGTTAATATCCAAATATAAAAAGAACTCATACAGGGACGTCACTGGTAGTCCAGTGGTTAAGACCCCATGCTTCCACTGCAGGGGGCATGGGTTCGATCCTTGGTCAGGGAACTAAGATCCTGCATGCCACGTGGCATAGCCAAAAAAAAAAAAAAAAAAAAAAAATTAAAAATGGACAGAGGACCTGAAGGACCTGAGAAAACATTTTCCCACAAAAGTCATACAGATAGATGCTCAACATCACTATCACCAGGGAAATGCAAACCAAAACCACAGTATCACCTCACACCTGTCAGAATGGCTATTATCAAAAAGACAACAAATAACAAGAGTTCTCAAACATGTGGAGAAAGGGGAACCCTCATGCACTATTTGTGGGAATGTAAATTGGTGCAGCCACTATGGAAAACAGTACGGAAGCTCCTCAAAAAATTAAAAATAGATCTACCATACGACCCAGCAATACCACTCCTGGGTATTTAACCAAGCAAAGTAAAATCATTATTTTGAAAAGACATGTACATCCCTATGTTCAGTGCAACATTGTATTTACAACAGCCAAGATATGGAAGCAACCTAATGAAGAAAATGTGTTACAAAGATACAATGAAATAACAGCCATAAAAGAGAATGAAAATTTGCCATTAGCAACATGGATGAACCTGGAGGGTATTATGCTTAGTGAAATAGTTCAGACAAATAGTGATTTCACTTATATGTGGAATTTATAAAACAAAAGCAAACATAACAGAAACAGTCATAGATACTGAGAACAACACATGCCAGAGGGGAGGGGACTGTGTGGGGATGGGTGAAATAGATGAGGAACATTAACAGGTACATACTTCCAGTTACAAAATAATTGAGTTGTAGGTATGAAAAAAATACATATACTTACATTCCAAAATGAACAGTTCAGTTAAAAAAACACTTGTATTTGATATTTCAAAAAAATTTACACTCCAACCAAAAATGACTGAAAATATACTTCCTCTAGTTTAGAAATTTAGGGACTATAATCCAGACTAAATCCTGAAATTTAAAATGGCTCTCATTTGAGAAATTCGTAAGCTTCTCAGAGGACGAGCGTTGAAATCTTTAGTTTACATAGTAGAGACTGTAGATTTCCCTACCATGGTCTAAGATAACACAATTTAATACAGCAATGAAGACAAAAGTACATTTCAATGTTTATCTTTGGAAAAGAATATTCATCACAGGTTCACAGCCAATTTCATTCCAGGTCTGGTTCTAACATTAAGAGTACTCTACAAACATTTCTCAAATGGAAAGGTCACTCGAGATGACATTATCAGCCTCCTAGAGCAAAGGAGGAATTCAATTCTCCATTTTCAAAGATAATCAGTTACCAGTTAAGAGTAAAAACCACCAGACTCCAAAATCTACATATTTACTTTTTATTGAATTTGTTAATGTTACAGAGTTTTTGCACTGCCAAACCATGCCTGAGAATTCAAAGAAAGAAATGGTACAATGGACAGCCTCATCCACCCATCATACAGCATATTAAAACTTGATTCATGTGCATTTTGATAATTTCACAATCTTTTAAAAAGTTATAACAAGGGTTGGAATTTTTAAATCTCCTGCAGGTCTTCAGATTTCTATTCCATTAAGTAACATTTCCACATATTCATCTCAGTTCATTCCTCAATAACATAACCCCCAACGAAATTTTGCTGGAAAAAAATGCATACTTTTTAGGGGAAATATGTGGCTCAAGGTCCAAGAGGTTATTTGTTAGAAGATTTTTGGTTCTCAAATGAAGTCTTCAGATTAACCAAGAATCCTTTGTTTCTCACTCATCCAACCTCTCCTTGGCTGGCTCAGCTACTCACCCAAGTACACCAGAACGTAGGCATCCTGCCTGCCACTTTAAATAATGCCAACATTACTGCCCAGATATGGTTCGCATCTGACAGCAGATGACTCTGTAACACTCCTAGGAGTGCGATTCCTGCACTGACACTTATCAAGACTGAACTCCTAGAGGAAAATGCTCCCACATCAGGATAGTTTTACTCACCCATTTGCTTCACTCTTGCCAGTAGCAAGTCTGCAACTCCTACATTTGGCAAAGGGATTTTATTATAGAGAAACCCAGACTCTGCATCAAGTGGTCACATGCCACTTTGAAATATTTCTATTGAACCGAAGATAAAAAACTAGGAAATTACCAGACTATCTCATTAGATGGAAAGACTTTTCAGTAATTCTGGGTAGCGTCCTGATGTCCTTTTCCAGGACTAAAAATTACTGGATAGTTTAAGCTGTAATCATTAAAAACAGAAGTGCTACATCACCTGTCTTTCGCCCCTGACTCTCCAAATCAACAATGTAAAAAGACACACCAGGAGGTTGATGACAGAGCTAGGCTGGGACAATCACTGCGTCTAATACCTTAAACGTTTGGGCACAAGTGCATCTGGAATTCTTGTCAGAGATCATGTAAGATCCATGAAACTTCAGTGGGTTTTAGGTTGAGGTTCTGCTCTCACTGCTTTGAATTTATAAGGACACATCTGTGACTCCCTTGGCCTGAGCAGAAAATATACTCTTTTCACCAGTTTACTATACAACTTAGACCTGATTAGAGGAAGCTTTAGCAGCACCTGAAGTACAGCCCCCTGCATCTACTACCCTTTATATCAAAGGCCATCTGGTTCTGCTCTAGGGACTGGCAAATTCATGAGCCGTTTCACAATTCCAATGCATATTTCAGGTTACTTAGCCAAGCAATATGCTCTGTCAAAGAACTATTCCAAGTCAAAGCAAAAAAAAAAAAAAAAAAAAAAAAAAAAAAAAAAAAAAAAAAAAAAAAAAAAAAAAGAAAGAAAGAAAGAAAGAAAGAAAGAAAAAAGCCTTAATATGGAACACAGAAAAAGTACTACCCAAATAAAAAATTACTAAAAAAATAAGATTATTCCCCCCCACACACACCCCTTTTCCCACTTGGTGACCCAAGTTTGGCTGAATTTAATTTGTGGTTACCTCAGAATACAACTCAAAGTTTAAATTATAAATCACAGGCCTACACAGATTATCTGAACACATCAGTTCTTTTGAGAGTGGCATGTTCCAGGAAGTCTAATACCCACTACAGAGTGTTCCTTATGAATGGGGCACAGGACAGGTTAATTAAGGTCACTTAAATCTTCATCTTTTACAGCAGATCAGAACCCAGATGGCTGACTTTCTGCAGTATTTCTGATAGGAATCCAGTAGAGCTGGTTTCAAGTTTCACATCGACACTTAAAAGCTGTAACCTTCTTGTCCAGAAGTTGTGATCCACATGAAGTCCACAATGAGTGCAGCAAATCTGAGGTAGTCAACCCTTACGAAGGCTCAGTATCTGAACATAAAAAGATTTCGAAATGACCACTGGCTGCAGTTTTCGATTATTTTGCATTTGCAGAGTAACTCTGAAAGAACACTGCTGAATCTAGTTGACACATTTATATAACAATGAAAATCCCCCTAAATCCAATACACATAAAGAGCAGTTGTGATACTTTAAACTTCCATAGTGCAATAGGGCCGGTCCCATATACCGAGTGGTCTGCATCAGTTGTAGATCCAGCAGAGATCAGATGATGATGGCTGTCCGTGGTGGTTAGCTGTGGTCTAGTTACCTTAGAAGGGTTAGCAAACACCATTCCTTAATTGTACTGTGTGTGGCTGCTTTTCTGATTCTCAAGCACAGCATACTGGTTGTCTAGCTGAAGTTTAAGGGCCTGGTTTTTTGAAACCTCATCCCTACCTCTAGTTTTGTGTCTTACTACTTCAAAGCTCTTCTCCATTTCTTTATCCCTAAGGGAAAAGAAATGTAATCAGTAAATATTTCTTCTTCACTAAGTTGTTTTGAAAATATCCTTCCTTGAATTTAAAAAAAAGCCACCCCTTAGAAAAATCTTGAGGAAGGGACAGGAGGGGAAAACTGGTATATAAATCCTTACCAAAACCACTTTTAAGGCTTCAATTGAACAGAAAATATAGAATACTGTACTGAAGCTCTAGGGTCCTATTTTCTGTGGTAGCAAATCTACTGAATACTATTAACTGAAAACCTATTTTGGAACCAACTTCAAGACAACTGGAAAGTTAAAAAGCTGTCTAATGACATGGTGATTCCTTCTAAGACTCATTGTTACTCTTAGCAAATAATAGACCATACACATCTCTTTCTTTATGCATAAAGTAAGAACAACAATTTCCTCATTCAAGTAAAGTTCTACTCATTATTCAAAGAACTCTCCACACATCTACTTTATGGGAGTGGGTCAGATAAAGATGAGTGTGGTGAATCACTGCCTCTCGTGGAGGACAGAGCAGAGGAACAAGTCAAGTGGAGGCTTAAATTCAAGCCAGCTGTGCGCTCAGAGGCAAAAACGCTGGGATTTAATTTAAAAGCCACCCCGAAAAATTTCCATCTGATGTCATTTACATTTCTTCCCATTTTATTTACTTTGTAAAAAATTCATGTCCCTAAATAAGATGTGGATGTGCCATATGTGGTCATTTAACTCCAGGTAGCATTCATTTTAAGTACCTGCTAAAATAAGATTATTTTTAATATTAGATTTATAAATGCCAACATCTTTCATCTACTCACATTAACTGGGAATATAATGAAATATTGCTGACTTTTCTAGTTTCTATATTACAAGGAACACAGAAGCAGCAATAATGTACTTAATATTTATTAAGAATTCTCACTAGATGAGACTTGTCACGGCTACAGAATGACATAAACTAGGGATAAGGGAAACTTGCAGATGAAGTTTGTCTTTGGTGTTCTTTCCCCTTGCCCCCCCCCCACCCCGGGTCCTTCCCCACTTCTCCCCCTAGTCCTGGGCATATAAGTCCCACCTTAATTCTCAGTTGCCTCTCAGCTGCAGCTTGGGCTTTACTGCAACACCCCAAGTGCATTTTCAAATCCCAAATACCCCACTCCCTGGCCAAAGGATAGGGCTCCAAAACACAATATTGAGAATACTTACTTCCGGCTTTCTACATGCTTGGCAGTGGACTGCAGGGATGGGAACTGTGTATCACTATAGATTTCTGGTGGTCCTTGGGATGCTTTCCTTGTTGTGGTCAACCTGGCCCCAGGAGGCCTATACACGCCACTAGTCATTGTTGGTTCTGGGGTTTCTGTAACTAACATTTCAAAACAGTTTAGAGAAACTATTCAAGTGCTTGGCATTTTAATAAGCTACTCCTGAATTCCTGGTCATTTTAACAGTTATGGAAAAAAACAATACTTACATTAAGGGTCTCTGAACAACAGAAGGAAAGTTATCTGAGGAAATGTCCAAAAGCAAAGGCCTATTTTTCTAGGGTAAAAGTAGTCTTCCAATTTCTCTTCCATGTACAATTTAAATTATCTATGTAAATGAGTTCTATTAAGTCAACTTATTGGAAGTGGGAAAGGCATCTTCTGTTCCTGGGAGACAGGTCTCATCAGGGACTACCTTTCAAAGTATGACCACTTTTACATCATCAATGAATTTTTTATTTTCTAGTAAAACAAGGAGAAAAAATTAAGCAGCCCAGTCTTGTACCATGACCAAGATTTTGAGGACACAGCCTTCCAGCTTTTCTTACATACCATTCACCCCCCATCCTAAACATGAATTCAGTGTTTTACACATGTTTTCTAGTTATCAAAAGCTTCCTTTCAAATGAACATCTCTACACCATTCATTAGCTCAAGTGTAATGCAGCTAGAAGGAAACATGCAAAAACTATGCATGGTAGTAATCTGTGATCTTTGGACAGTAATGTTTGGGGTGATTTGTTATTCTTTATATTATTCTGTATAAAATGGGTATACATCAGAGCATTATTTCTCAACATTTTTTCTTTACTGCCTTCCTAAAAGAGCCTTTTTAGACAACTTTCTTCTAAACAGTACTGTCCCCATGCCCCAAGCAAAAAATGTTAATACCACAGATACACTGTATATATGTTTACATACTCTGGCCCTCTGATGGGCCATAAACCACTGTAAGATCTAAGATTTCTTTACCATTCCCACTCTCCCCCGAGCCAAGAAGCACTTTTCATCCTCTCGGGAGTGATAAAATCCACCTGTCTGAGAATTCATTCTTCAGACAGAGTAAAATGGGGAATGGAAAAAAAAAAAGACACAGGTACCCAATATTCCTTAGTCAGCCGTCAAACATTAGAAAAAAATGCTTAAACATGTAAATCTGGCAAGCTATAGGACTGCAGTAAGATTTAAGCAGCCTACAGCCTTAACTTCCAAATTTCTTTATTGAGGATATGAAAGTCTTTAGATCAGACACAAATCTCTCTCCTAGGAATGGAAAGAAGACCCTACTCACCCAGTGCAAGCATGCATTTAGTTGAAAGCTGACTGCATACAAAATTATACACAAACAGACATCTTTATGAAAATGAAATATGAAGATTACCAACTACTGGAGCAGGAGGTGCTTGTACCGGAGCTGTTTTATTCCAGGGACCTGAAGATTTTTCTACACCACCACCACCTCCTCCGCCTTCTTCCCAGTTATCACCTGGATCTTCTCTTTTTTCATTTTCATCTTCTTCCTTTTCACTATTGGAAAATAAATAAGTGAATTCAATTACAGAAACACCAGGAAAACTGTCAGTCCAAATCCTTAATTCTATCAAAAATGATCTGTGATTCTGGAGAAGGTACTTAACCTCTTCAAGCCCAAATGCCTCACTTGTTTTTTTTTTTTTAAAAAAAAGAGGGGAAGAATTAGGGGATTTTATCTATTTTATGCATTAGGACTTCATGTAAAAGGATTCATTGCTGGAAAAAGGCTGAGAAAACCTCTCTGTCTGACAGTCTCCATTTCCCTTTTTGCAAACTCCATACACTCAAGAACATCTAGAAATATTTAACGTACTGACATGCCAGGCTTTTAAAAATCTGTGTTGATTATTTATAGCAGCCCCTACTGAGGGAGGGAAGAGAGGTCAATCTAACCTGAAATGTAGAGAAAAGGGCAACTTGAAAGATTAAAAGTACAATTACTTGATTTTTTTCTAGGACCAAAGTGTACAAACAGGCACTTATAGTAAGCATATTTTTAGTGATCAAATGTATGGGTTTTAAAAGTTGTATAATTTCATTTGCTAATCCTTTAATACATGTAAAAAAATACTCTCAAAATTAATTCACATTCCAACAGAGGAAAACAAGTTAGCATTCAGTAAACCACACCCCCTGCATTGGAAGGCGAATTCTTAACCACTGGGCTGCCAGGCAAGTCCCTATTTTTTTATCCTTGAATTGACTTGAGTCAGAAGTCTGTGATCTCTGCAAGGTATCTTTATTTCTCCTTGTGTTGGATTACTTATTACTATTTTATGTAAGCCTGAATTTGCTAAATTATCAAGTACATATATCTTGCCTCTATACCGCTGGCTTGACAGCACAAAGGTAACTGCCAAATCAAACTTCCTTTTTGCAACTCTTTGCCCTTGCAGATGATGCACCTGGCACAGACCACCAACCTTCTCCCTGGATTACTTTCCATGACAATGGTGGTGTTTCCTAGGTCTTCAGCTTATCAATCTCTGTCATCAATCTAACTGTCCTTTCCTCTATTAAAAAAAAACATGCTGCGGGGCTTCCCTGGTAGAGCAGTGGTTAAGAATCCACCTGCCAATGCAGGGGACACGGGTTCGATCCCTAGTCCAGGAAGATCCCACATGCCATGGAGGAACGAAGCCCGTGTGCCACAACTACTGAGTCTGTGCTCTAGAGCCCGTGTGCCATAACTACTGAAGCCCACGCACTGCAACTACTGAGCCCATGTGCCTCAACTACTGAAGCCCCCATGCTCTAGGGCTCACGTGCACAACTACTGAGACTGCATGCTGCAACTACTGAAGCCTGTGTGCCTAGAGCCCATGCTCCTCAACGAGAAGCCAATGCAATGAGAAGCCTGTGCACCGCAACAGAGAGAAAACCCGTGCACGGCTGTGAAGACCCAACGCAAAAAGAAAAAAAAAATGCTACATGCTGCTGCCTAAAGCTCTGTCCCTAGCCTTCCACTCTTTCAGACATTTTCTCCTTTTGATATCTGATCCATGACAATGGCCATAACAATGTATATATGACTCCTACCCTGACTGTGACCTTGGGAACATCAGGGCATATCCTGGTTTCTGCAAAATGACATCTAAGGGTGCTTTCTTTCCATGTCTATTAAAATAAGTTCTGGCTATATGACAAATTTCTTGAATAGCTAATGGTCTTCTTTAAAGACACTCAGATAATAGTACCATCACTTATTGCCCACCAACCAGAGATGATTCCAGAATTTAGAGGCCTAGGGTGGCAACAGAAAGCGGACAAGGGAACAAACTTACCTTCAATCTGCATTTAGAGCACGATTTTACTAAACACTACAGTTTGAGAGGAAAAAAGCGTGGGGAGTATGGCTAAGCCAGCCTTCAGTCTTCCTTTTGGCTAACACATAATAGAATCCTAAGGAGCCATTTAAAATGTTAGGCCTACACTAACATGGAAGTAATAATCATGTCACATAAACCAACAATGTATCAATACTAAAAATCTATGCACCTAATATAGATAGAAAGACAACTAGAATGATTTCTTGGGTAAATGTTAAAAAGTGGGTGCTAGAATGCATGACTTTATTTTCTTCATGGAGCAAGCAGTTATGAGCAGATTTTAAAGCCAAACTGCCTGGTTCAATACACCCAGGCTCTGCCATTTACTAGCCAGGAAGACTAAGTATAGCATCTAACTTCTGTATGCCTCAGTCTCCTCGTGTAAAAAGAGGGTAACAGCCCCATTATGAAGATTGATTAACAGACATAAAGCACTGATAACAGTGCCTGGCACATGGTGAGTGCCGTAAGCATTTGGTATTACATGCTTTTTATTTATTATTTTTTAACATCTTTAATGGAGTATAATTGCTTTACAATGGTGTGTTAGTTTCTGCTTTATAACCAAGTGAATCAGCTATATATATATACATATATCCCCCCTCCCTCTTGCGTCTCCCTCCCACCCTCCCTATCCCACCCCTCTAGGTGGTCACAAAGCACCGAGCTGATCTCCCTGTGCTATGCGGCTGCTTCCCACTAGCTATCTATTTTACATTTGGTAGTGTGTATATGTCCATGCCACTCTCTCACTTCGTCCCAGCTTACCCTTCCCCCTCCCCGTGTTCTCAAGTCCATTCTCTACATCTGTGTCTTTATTCTTGTCCTGTCCCTAGGGTCTTCAGAACCATTTTTTTTCTTTTTTTAGATTCCACATATATGTGTTAGAATACAGTATTTATTTTTCTCTTTCTGACTTACTTCACTCTGTATGACAGTCTCTAGGTCCATCCACCTCACTACAAATAACTCAATTTCGTTTCTTTTTATGGCTGAGTAATATTCCATTGTATATATGTGCCACATCTTCTTTATCCATTCACCTGTTGATACACACTTAGGTTGCTTCCATGTCCTGCCTACTGTAAATAGAGCTGCAATGAACACTGTGGTACATGACTCTTTTTGAATTATGGTTTTCTCAGGGTATATGCCCAGTAGTGGGATTGCTGGGTCATACAGTAGTTCTATTTTTAGTTTTTTAAGGAACCTCCATACTGTTCTCCGTAGTGGCTGTATTAATTCCCACCAACAGTGCAAGAGGTTTCCCTTTTCTCAGCATTTTAATATTTAGGTTTTCATATAAGCACCACATATACCACCTTTATAATAAGAAAAAACAGTTTTCATTAAAAAAAAAAAGCAACATGAAAACATGTTCTTTTAAAATGGACACTAAGCAGTATGATCTTGCTTCGTAAAGCTTTTAAGTAGAATGATCAGGTAAGAGTATGAAAGTCATAATTTATCCAGGAGTCTAACAGTGTTATCCAAATGTCAAAATTGTCCCAAAAGAAGTTTTTTTAAAAAGTTACCCACCTCTGAAGCCACACCTATGTAATTACACTAAAATGTAATTTTCTTGGTCCATGAGTAAAAGCACAGGTGTTACTCACCTAGCTATAATTGACTATGTAGTTAGCAATGTCGCAGCAACCCAATCCATGCCAGACAGGGTGATAAGATCCCCAAAGATTTAAGTGACTTCATGGCACTTTTACACTCTTATATCCCCAAACTGTGATAGCTTTCATTTGGTCAGTTACATTTAGAAATGGTTAATTTCAACAATGCACTGAATTAAAATAGCTTTTCCCTTAAATTATTTTAATATTTAAACTCCAGAATTATCAGCTTGCAATAAACTGAAAACCAAAAAAATTTTAACACTGATTATCCCTAAGCAGAAGGAATTATGAATAATTCTTGCATCATATTTCTTTGTGCTGTTATACTCTTCAAATGTTCTAAAGAACAAAAACATTGTTTTCCTAATCTGCAAAAAAATAAATTTTGAAGAAAAACTCCAATTTGATCTGATAGAATGCAGAGAGTCTCAAAGAAAAGAAGATTCCTTTACTGTCTAGTGTTCATCACCTTTTCACCCTCAGAGACAAGTGAAGAAATGAATTAAAGAAATCACTAATCTAAAATTCCTCTAGATTACAAACTATTACTAGAAAATAAGAGTGATCTGTTTTAATTAGAGGGATTGTATATTGATAATAGGCACAAGACAACTTAGTATTTTGCTTCATAAGATTCTGAAATATCAGCTAAACTAAACATTGGAAATTGTCTAGTCAAGACAACAGAGGGAAATAAGGCCCAGAGATGCTAAGAGCCTTGCCCAAGTGCTATAGTAACAATGGCAGGATAGAAATAATTTAAATAGCCTACTACTCTTTCATATTTACATATTCCAGAAAATGTCAAACTTCCAAATGCCAAAGAACAAAAATCATGTTGCAGAGAATTATTTCCACAGAAGACAACAAGGCTAAAATTTGGCGTTTGATCCAAATATAATATACAACGTCTCATAAGCTAAATTTGATGTTTTAAAAACTACAATGTTTAAAAAATAAGTAAATAAAATAAAAATAAAAACTACAATGTTACTGTAAATTCATTATCACAATCCAAAGTATACTGTCTTAAATATGCATTAGTCTGTAAGGTACTATTTTGGGGTAGGGGGAATGATCATGCTACAAAAAGGAATATTTACTGAGCATCTACTATACCAGGCAGTGTTGTACCCGTTTTACAAAGTTAAAAATCGAAAGAACACTAAGGCAGGGAGAAGACCCATTGTACATATGAGACTGATATTCAGATACTTAAGTATCTTCACCAGGGCTACAATGTAGCAGAGCCAAGTCAGTGGGACTCCAGAGCCCATATTCTTTCAGGTTGCCTATTACTTCATTTCACTCTCTTTATAGCTCTAAAATATGAAACAAAAATTTTCCCTATTTTGAGATTTGAGAAATTCACTTTTTTTTAGTAAGACTGATCAGGATCACACATTCTACAGCAGTGTATTTATAAAGAACAGAACATTCTTACCTCCTTATCTCAAGGGACATTACAGGAGAATTTATGTATCCTAACTCCCCCTTCCCCAAAAGCAGCTAAAACAAAATCCGGACTTGACTGCACTTTTGCCAGAATGCTGGGCAGCGCCACTGATTTGACCCTATTATCCAATCACTGTTACAACAGTAAACTGGGGGGATAGAAATGGCCTGATGAGCCATGGCTGGCAGCTTAAAATGTCACTGTATTTCATCCAAGGACTCTTTCTTGACCCGCTCATGGTAGACCTAAGCGTCTCTACTGGACTCCACGGCCCCTGCACATCACTGAAATGATCTACTAGTGTTCAGTAGAGCATGAGTTATTTTTTTACAACTCCAAGACCCAGCAGTTGATGCCCAATATCCAGGACACAGCAGTCCCACAAATATTTGCTACTACGAATCCAGCTTGGATGCTGGAATAATTTCTTCTCTTCAAAGCACAAATTAACCAGCTCTACCTAATGGGTTTAAAAGTCTAGATTTCTTAAGATTCCTAGAAAACCACTGGGATCCAAGGACTCAATTTTTTATTGAAACATGACAAATGCTCACCATTTAGTAATAAGTAGTAAATGAAATCTTTCTTCCTCAAATCCATTTTAAAGATGGGAAAGGCCTATAAGTCCTACTATCAACCAATAATCTAAGCTCAAGCGCTAGGCCCCTTCTTTTATCACCATCTCAATGGCTTCCCTCTCAGAACTTGTCTGTAAACAATGACGTGATCTTGAATAAGATTAACTTAGACACAAAACTTAACACATGACCTCATAATACTCTTGGTACTTAAATCTTGAGCTAATGGGTAAATGTGAGCTAGGACGTTAATACAGTATGCTTGCTGCTGCTGAAAACTTTCCCCCTTTCAACTGCACACTCACCTTCAACAAAGGTCCAGCATGCTAACTAACTACGAGGACTAGTGCCAAGAACTTTTAAGACTGTATGCAGCTAACTAAAGAGAAAGTAAGTGTGGCAAAAATGATTTGTACATCTCCAGCAAGAGTATAAGGGTACTTATTCTACTATTCTTGCAACTTTCCTGAGGTTCGTAATTTTTCAACACAATAAGTTGGGAGAAAAAAAATTAAGACTATAGATGGAGAATTTCAAGATATTTTTAAGTCAACTTCAAAGTTTCATTTTCCCTTGTTTCATATTGAAATAGCAAGGCTGTCTCTCTCATGCATAGAAAAGGTAACAAACTAAAGGCATAACCACCCCCCTCCAATTCCAGAGAAGAGAGAGATCTCATTTCTCTCCCCTTCTGAGGGCTTCTGCACAAAAGGTAAGACCAAGTCATAAAAGACAATCATTCAAGATCTCCAGCAACTCTTGAGAAGGATTTTTCTTTATATGGTTATACTAATGCCAACCTGAACATGTCATGTTCTCCTATTAAGTCCATAGTGAACTGACTCACCAGAGTAGGACTTTAATCATGATAATATTATGTGCCTCCACTACCCCTTCTCCTCAAATACTGGTATCATAAAGCAGGTACCTCATGGTTAAATAGCACAGAAATTCCCAAGAGTAAGACATTCTAATTTACCCACTAAACAGAGGTTGATTAACATTAACCAAGTGGATATATTTTGAACATCCTGTTCAAAATCCTCACAAAAATGCTGAGTAGTCATCTCAATTTTGCAGATAACATCCACAAGTAAAGTAATTCGCCCAAGGTCACACATAAGCAGCAGGGCTAAAATGTAAGCCCAGGTTTGTCTTTCCC